GGGGGTGATTTCTCGCTTTCTGTCTCTCTCTCTCTCTCTGTCTGGCGAGCACAAGCGCCCTATGGCAAAAACCTCTCAAAAAAAAAAGAAAAGAAAAATTATTAGATCTGATAAGGAAGGTAAGCAGGGTGGTCAGTTACAAAAAGATTCTTGCTACACACAAAAACTATTGAGGGCTACTTCTATGTAGAGAGGAGAGTAATAGAAAAGGTAGTGAAAGATGGCTTTTATGTTTTTGTTCCATGTGCAGTACTTCTGTGATGTTTGATTTTTTTACAACCAGATTGTATTCATGTAGTCGTTTGGAAAAGAGAAAATAAGACAGTAGTAGGTAGAATTTCAAAATGTCCCCCCAAGGACTGTGAATGTGTTAAGATTTCATGTTACATTACTTGGCAAAGAGATTTTACAGATGTTGCTAATCAGTTTATTTTAAAATAGGGAGATTATTACGGATTGTTTCAGAGGTCCTAGTCTAATCACAGGAGCCTCTTTTAAAAAAGCAAGAAACGTTAGAGAGGGATGAGCAAGAGAAAGACTTAGCATACTACTGCTGGCTTGAAGATAGGCAGGGCTATGTTAAGAAAAATGTGAGCTGCTGCCAGAAGCTGAGAGTAGCCCCCTAACTGATTGACAGCTAGCAAGGAAATGGGTGACCTCAGTCCTATAACAGCAAGGAACCTGAAAGAGCTTGGATGTAGTTTCTTCTCCAGAACCTCCAGATAAAAGGCTCATCCAGGTACACCTTGCTTTTGGCATTGGGAAGACCTAAGCAGAAAATTCAAATAAGCCCACCAGACTTCTGACCTACAAAACTATGAGGGAATAAATCAGTGTTGTTTTAAACTTCTGAATGTGTGGTAATTTCTTATGCAACAATAGAAAACCTACGAAATACATTATATCAGCAAAACAAACATGTACTGTATCAAATTTTCAAAGATTCAATAACCATTAATGACCTAGACATAGAGTGGGGTAGGGAACTGACATATCATATACCACATCGGTAGAAATCATTCCCAAAGTAATTTGGGCAGTACCTATCAACAGCTATCTGAATGTCTATATGCTTTGACTTAGGGAAATTTTTTTGTTTGTTGTTTTAGTGAACCGACCTTTATTTTATTACCTTGCCTACAAATCATACATGAATGCCTTGAAATAGGTTTTCTTAGAATAAAATCATTTTTACTCAGCACATTTCAAAGGGGAAACATTAGACCTTTTGGGTGTGGGAAAAGCCTTTTGTAAGTCCCTAAGCAATTTTCGCAAAATATAAAATGAACCCTAGTTGTGCCGAAGTTTTGGCTTAATTTTACCAAGCACCAAGATCTGCCACAATAGTTAAAGGAAGGCAAAGGCAAGCTAACAAAAAGTTACTAATACAACAATATATTGCGGTCTGAAAACAGCCACTCTGTTTATTTACTGAGCAGATTACAAAAATAATCATGGTGGATACCTTAGTTCATCCTTCTAGTAAATCTGTTGATCTGGTCTTCCCTGTTTCTAACATCTCCACCTTGTACAAAATTGGTGGTCTCTTTCTTCATTCCACCTTGTAAAGAAGATAATTTGAAAGACCACAGGAAGTTATTTGCTTCTTTGATGTGTTTTCCAACAGTATAGATTTCATGAATCAGATCCTCCATGCAGATGATGCCAAATTTACCAAGAGATTCAGCAATCAAAGAGTTATCTGTCAAAGCAATCCTCTTATTGATTTTGCCATAACCTCACTTGTAGATTAGTTCACTTACTGACTTCAGGTTCCTGGGTACTCCCACTCAATATATGGTTCTACAATTCTCAGCATGTTAATTGAAGCCTTGTTGAGCTTAACAAAGGTGCCATTGAAGATCTGGGGAAGACAAAGAAGCTGCAACACCTTGCTAACCTTTAGGCTCACTCCATTGATAACTCTGATCCTGATGACAAACGACAATTTGGGTTCTGCAGGTTCACAGAAGTTGCCAGTTTTTCTTGCCATCCTGGTCGTGTGAATCTCAGTTCTGTGTATCTGCCTATATTCCTTATGATAGTGCTTAGCTTTTTCATAAGCTTTCTCCTTGCCTTTCAAAGCACCCTTGGAGCAAACTTCTTAAGCGCTTGATCTTCAGCTCCACAAAATCCCTTCGCTTTTTCTTAAGGGTTTCTGGCACAGCAGAAACCTTTTTCTTGGTTTCTGCCACAGCAAGAAAATTTCTTTTTCTTCTATTGAACGCCCTGCATGGTTCCAGCCAGAAAAGCGAATTACGGGAATGTATTATAGTTAAACAATCATAAAGGTAAGCAGAGATTTTTTTTCTTTTTTTCAGACAGAGAGATTTTTGCTATAGGGTGTGTGCACTCACCAGAGAGACAGAAAGCAAGAAATCACCCTCCCCAGGGGGGATGGTCATGCCACAATCCCTTCTCCATTCTCCTTCAGGATCTTGGACACACACACACAAATACACACATGCCCAGCAAGAGTTTTAAGACACTAGGTCTGGAACTCAAACCGAGATCGACTATGTGGGAATCCAGCAATGCAGCCATTATGCCAATTGCTGGTCCCAGCAGAGATTTTTCTAAATGTCTTTTGCAAAACTGCTTATAAAAGTGGACAATTAATTAGAAACAACTTAAATGTTGTTTAAAAGACTGGTTTATCAAATGTAGCATCTTACACCTATTTGATGAAGTAAATACACACTGAAAGCCCAATAGAGATTTTATAGAATTTAATGAGCAAATTTTAAACTTCATCTGGAAAAGAGAATTCATGAGAATAATAAGGAAATTTTGGGGAAAAAGGGGGGGGCTTGCCCCAGAAGATATGAAACTATAATTTAAAGCTCAAGTGCTTAAAATAGTTTGGTATTCATGCTGATATGGATTTTAGGACTATAGAATAAATGATTTACATTCAAACCCATATAATATTAGGAATTTGGTGTTTCATAAAGGGAAACAATGTTCGGGACCGACAGTTAGTGTAATGGCTATGTCACTGAACTCCCATGTAGCCGACCACGGTTCGAATCCGGTGGACCCGGTGGCTTAAAACTCATGCCAGGCACTGGTTCGTGCATGCCCAAGATCGCGAGAGGAGAATGAAGGAGAAGGGATTGCAGCATAACAGCAATTACTCCTGGAGGGTGATTTCTTGCTTTCTGTCTCTCTGTCTCTATCTGTCTGGTGAGCACACACGCCCTATAGCAAAAACCTCTCCAAAAAAAAAAAATTCCTTAGCCTCTGTAATAATCAGAAAAATGAAAATAATGAAACATTTTTCACCCATTACATTGGAAAAATATTAAAATGATTGGTTAATATCAGTGTGGGTAAGAATTTAGGGAAATGGTTATTCTTATTTACCGCTAAGAAAGGTGTAAACTGAAATATTCTTCTTAAACATGGTAATTTGGCATAATGTATTACAATTTCAAACTGCATAATCTTTGATCCAGTTATTCACTTCTCCGTACTTATCTTACAGAAATATTTTCAGCATACGCACAAAAAGACATGTATGAAAATTTTCATGGCAGCGCTGTGAATAGGAAAAAGAGTGTTTCAACAGTGAGAGATTGAAAACAATGGATGTTTATCAATAGGTGAATGTTTAACAATAGGTGAGTGAATACTCAATGGGCTATTAAAGAGTAAGATGAATGATGTAGATATATACACACTGTCAATGGAAAGATCTTCAAGCTATATTAAATGAATAATGCAATTAATAGAACAATACATATATTAGAATGCTGTTTCTAGATTTTTAAAAATGAATCACATGGGGGTCCAGCAGTTGGCATAATGGCTATGTCATTGGACTCCTATATAGTCGACCGCAGTTCTAGTCCCAGATCTGGTGGCTTAAACTCACGCAAGGCGAAGGTGCATGCGTGCCCAGGATCCCGAGAGGAGAATGGATTGTGGTATGGCCATCCCCCTTGGGGGGTGATTTCTCGCTTTCAGTCTCTCTGTCTCTCTCTTTCTGGCAAGTGCATGTGACCTATAGCAAAAACCTCTCCAAAAAAAAGAGAGAGAGAAATAAATCACATGGGGCTGGCAGGTGGCGTGGTAGTTAAGGGCACTGTGCTCCCACATGGCCAACCAGGGTCTGAGTTCCAGACTTGTCAACTTGCTTTCTCACTTTCCTTTCCTTCTCTCTCTCTCACTCTGTCCCTCTGGTCAATTTTAAGAAAGAAAGAAAGAAAGAAAGAAAGAAAGAAAAAAGAAAGAAAGAAAGAAAGAAAGAAAGAAAGAAAGAAAGAAAGAAAGAAAGAAAGAAAATTAAAAAAAGAACTGCATGAAACAAAGCTTTGTATTTCTATTTGTGCATAAGAATTTGTACAAATGCACATGAATTTGTGCATATATTTCTGTTGTGAATATGTCTGAAAGGGGAACTTTTCGTTTGTTCGTGTTCCACATTTTATAATAATATATGTGTGTGTATTTAGGAAAACATTTTTTAAGTGAAAAAAAGAATAAAATTGAAGTTAATTACATGCTAAAGAAAAGAATGCTTCATGTTGCCATTAAAATGTTATAGACAAATATTTAATGACATGATATTCACTGTGTTATTAAATTACAACATAGTATGGTAATTTGTTATATATATTAGTTCTACTTTAGAACTATAAACACATATATCATGCATAGATAAATGCTGAGAAGACAAAATCAGACATTAATAGTATCCTCTCTGGATGGTGGGATCACAGGTATTTTTCTTTGGGTATTTTCTTTATGCTTTCATATATATATGAGTATTCTATAAAAAGAAAAATAAAAACAACAGGTGTGTGTGTGTGTGTGTGTGTGTGTGTGTGTGTGTGTGTTTATGTGTAATGGGGTGCCACTGGTTGGAACTAGGACTAGAGCAATAGAGTTAGCAAGAGAACTAGAGGCTTCTGCAGATTCAAATGAAAACTAGGGTCATCACATAGTAGGACTTTAGAATTAGGGGTGGGAAATTACACTTTGGGATCTAGGAATTAACAGTAAAATGTAGGGGTTAGAATTGGTAGAGACCATGAATTACTAGAACTAAAGCAGATACTATGAGAAAATGAAATTAAACTCAAAGGTTTATTAAATTGAACAATTTTTTTCTATTAAAGCAGTATCAGTGAGGGCATGGTATTATAAGAATAAACTGGAATCTTCATATACTTCTGGTGGGCATGTACACTGTTTTGTTTTCGTTTCGAGAATGAGGACAGAAGTCTAGCTGCTTTTTCCTATTTCCAAAATCCCTTCTTCAGGGCCTGGGGCGAGTCACACCCACAATCATTGACTGATCATTTTGGCTCATTTGATAACAGGACTCTCCCTACATCCTGTCCCTGGCATAGTATCTCTGCAATGAGTGAGTCATGCCCACCAATATTAAGAGAGAGATTTTTGCTATAGGGTATTTGCTCACCAGAGAGACAGAGAAACAGACAGAAAGTGAGAAATCAAATCACCCGCCCCTCATCTAGCACTCTACCCCAGGTTGAATGTGTGGGAGTCCAACGCCTTAACCACCATGCCATCTGCTGGCCCCAGGAATGTATTATTGTTAGAACTGCCCTGGAAAGCTTGTTTTGTGTTTCAGAAAGGACTGGCCTTTTCTACATATTTCTTATCTACAAATTTCTATTTCTTTTCTACAAATTACTCCTTGAGAAAAATCTTAGAAATATACATATTACATCAAAGTTCATATCTATAATTTCTTATAATTAAAATGTTCTAAACATAGGGTTTTGAGAAGAACTGGAAAGGCCAGTGTGAGTAGGTGCTCTCCGAATCATCCATGATGGAATATTTGTCTCATCCGAGTGCACTCAGCCTGGCTGCTGGGGTTGCTTGTGGCATGTGCCTGGGTTGGGGCCTTCGGGTAAGCTTTGGGATGTTCCCCAAAAGCTCAGCAAGTGGCACAAATGCAGAGACTGGGACTGAAGCAAGCATCTTGGGAGAGAGTGGGGAATATAAAATGATTCTTGTTGTTCGAAATGACTTAAAAATGGGAAAAGGAAAAGTGGCTGCCCAATGCTCCCATGCTGCTGTTTCTGCCTACAAGCAAATTCAAAGGAGAAATCCTGCAATGCTCAAAGAGTGAGAATACTGTGGCCAGCCCAAAGTGGTGGTCAAAGCTCCTGATGAAGAAATCTTGATTCAGTTACTGACCCATGCGAAAACGCTTGGACTGACTGTGAGCTTAATTCAAGATGCTGGACGTACTCAGATTGAACCAGGCTCTCGAACTGTCCTAGGAATTGGGCCAGGACCAGCGGATCTCATTGATAAAGTTACTGGTCATCTAAAACTTCACTAGGTGGGTTTTTGTATGATGTTGATCCCTCCATCATAACTGTTTGAAGCCTGTCAGTAACATTTGAAACAATTTCTTCCCCCAATTTAAATATTCTTGCCATAAAAATAAAATCTGGTCTATCATGAAAAAAGAAACATAGGGTTTTGAGTAAATACATAATTAGTTTTACAATGGAATAATATTTATTAAAAATAACGTAAGAATTTTTAAAAAGACAATCTGTCTCAATGGGGAGCTTCTGGCTATCTCCTGGGATTTGTAGATAACATTTTACAGTAAGTATATAAGCATATTGGCGGTGGGGGAGGGAAGGAGGAGGAGAATGCAACCATTCAGCAGATTCTCAACTGGAGGCATGAACTGCTGCTCTAATTTTTCAATCACAGGCATGAACCACTGTTTTGAGGGATTGGAATTAGAACTGCAGGATCTAATTAGTTTTATTTCTTCTATGTCTTATTTGGATAATGTTTTTGCCTTTAAACTTTAAAATGCCAAGTTCATACATCCTTTTTGTTAAAAATTCAAACTTTATCGAAGTACCTAGTGGTGTACATCAAAGCCGCCCTCTCCTCTCATCCTCCAATCTCTTTCCCCACTCCAGATGAAGCACGGTTAGCAGGGAATCTCCTACCTACCAAAGCCTTTTATTCCTATGCATTTACAGATGTTGGCTCCTTGCCAATCTTACTCTGCCAACCCAAACGATACCAAAGCAAAAAAGAAAAGACGTTGTTTATTAAGGGCTTACGATGTGCCTTAAGTGTTTCATGGTTTTGCCCATGCGAACTCACTGTGGTAGGCGCTCCCTTCGTCTCCCGCCCTCCACACTGTGTCCTGGCTTGCATTCTTGACCCCTGTCCCCCATACTTCATAAGGCAGCTGGAGAGGTTGTTAGTTTTTAAACGTAAAATCAAATCATGTTCCCTTCAGTGGCTTCCACCGGGCCTCGAAGCAAATCCCAGTTCCTTAACAACCCTACAATCCTCAAAGGCCTGTGAGTAGCTCGGGTCAGTTCCTTGCAGGACCTGGCTTCACAGCGGAGGAATCACCTTCTCAAGAGGCAGGGGCGGGGCTTCTCTTGTGGTGGGTGGAGCCCCAAAGCCAGTGTGAGCAGAGCCAAGAGACGGAAGGCTTTCCACCGAGGGCGAGAGAGAGAGAGCAGGGCCGAATCTGGGCCGCGGACTCTGCACGCTTCTGCGGGCCCGCGGAGCCATTGCCGCCGGGGGCGGGGGATGGGGGCGGCTCTGTGGGCGAGACTATCCTCCGCTTCTTATGGAAGGCGTGGGAGGGAGTTCCCACGGGACCCTGCGCGGAGGCGCGGAGGTGACGGCCTTGGGGAGCCTGCGGGAAAGGCTGGTGTTGGGGCCAAACGGCCTGCCCCAACCCTCTGTGAACCCCGCCTCCTGTCCCCTCCCCCAGGCCTTGGTCAGCGCCACCGGAGAGCTAGCTGCATCTTCAGGCGCAGCGGGGCAGCTGCCTTCGGCGCGTCGAGTGAATGGCCAACAGAGGGGATGTGAGGTACCGGCATTAGCCGTGGCCAAAGGGCCCTAGCGAAGGACTAGAGGCCGGGCCGGCCTTCGGCGGCGTTTCTCTGACGAGTTCAACGAAGGCGGCCTCAGGAGGAGAGGGAAGGTGAGGGATGGGCAGGCAGGTTTCACTGGTAACTACTAGGCGTCGTATGTATATGTTTGGAAAATTAAAATGGTACTATACACATACGCACATATTCATTTTGGCAAGCTGCTTTTTAGAATTTTAACAATGTATCTTGTAGATCAGGGAATCCAAATTTATCTCAGTTTCTAAATAGCTGCATTGTAGGATTGTACGATACTACAGTTTAACCATTTCCTGATTGATGTACATTAGCTTGTTTCCCTTTAGGGAGGAGGGGACTATTAGAGGCAATGCTATTAATATAATGAATGAGTTTGTGTATATGTTTCATGCACATGTCTGAGTATTTCTGTAGGAGAAATCCTTAGATGAGTAGTCGCTGGGTCAAAGTGTATATATGCATTTCTGATTTTGCTAAATTTGTCCAAATAGCCTTCCCAGAAGGCTATAGTAATTTACACCCCCTAATGTTGTGCTGGAGTGCCTATTTTTCCACAGTTGTGTCAAAACTAATTATTTATCAACCTTTGTAATTTTAATCAATTTGAAGGGCCAAAAAGTGTATGTCATTATTTTCATTTGTATTTCCCTGTTTACCAGTGAGATTGGACATTTTTATTTTTCTGATTACAAAAGTAAATAGGCAAATATCAAGTCATATATAAGCAATTAGTAAACATATAAAATTTTAATAATAAAACCATTTGCAATCAAGAAAAATGAATTAAAATGTCTGGAAGTAAACTATAAAACTTTATCAACGAATATAATAAAAGAATGTTTGCATAAATGGAGAAGGGATACCATGCTTCTGGATAAGAAGTCTCAATTTTGTAGTGATGTCAGTTTTTAATATATTGATTTATACATTTTATACAATTTCAATAAATACGTCAAGTTTTTTTAACTTAATATGATTTTAAAGTTCATCTGAGAAAAAATGGTTAAGAAGAACTGAGAAAATATTTGAAAAGAT